ATTCTTATAATTTAATAATTTCATGATTTTGAATGGAAATAATTTAAATAATCTCAGTAACTACTTTAGGGTATAGAGTGTGCAACATCAATGATTACATGTTTGTATGTTAAGGTAAATACTAATAGAACCTGGATGTAATCTTAAAAAGAACTTTCCAATTCTATTCAGTCACCCTATTTAGTATCAAATTCTAAATATTCACCACCTCCACTAAATTATATGAATGTATTACATAATGTTATCTTTGAAAATCAAATCCCATTTTCCAATTCTTTTTCCATGATTGTACTTCCCTGCAAAAGTAACTTATCGAACACTACATAAATTATATTAATATTACTTAGTGAAATTTAGCATAAGTCAATCCAGAACCCATCTCTCATACCATTATCATCATAAAATCCCCCACTACTTTTGGATAAATCAAAAATCTACATAATTTATTTTTTAAACACAGTTTCCCATTTTCCCTTTTTACTACCATTATTATAATCTCCATTAAATATTATCTACTAGCTAATATTTAATATTTTGGTAGAAATATTGATATGAAGGAATCAAAGTTACTATTGTTACCTCTCCTTCTTATATCAGAATATGAATATCTATATTTTAGATTGGCTTTTCTTTCAATTAAAAAAAAGATATTATATTTAGCGTTTGAATATCGAAAATATCGGAATTTATCTCACAAAAAGCAAAATTAATAATCAATATTTTTTATCACTATTCAATCAGATGATGAAAAATAAGTAATAATTACTTCTAATAGATTAAAAGCGTTTAGAATTGAATAGCTATTAGTATTGTCTTAGCGATATACGAATTTAATAATTAGTGTCAATTAAATTAAAATGTTTTATATTTCATTTTTAACTAATTTCTAATTAGAATTTATTTATAAAAATGAAATTTGCTATTACATTGAGAATCTAGACAAGTGGCAATCATTATTTAAGTATTAATTGAATATGATAATTATAATAACATCAAAATGAATTAATGAAATCTCAGAAGTACAATTTTGCAAGCATTCTTAACTTGACTCTTTTTATTATAGGGCTTATGCAATTTGAAATAAGAAGTTTTTGAAATATGATTACGCAATTTATTAACTATTATATAAATGTTTCTCATATATAAATATTAATATAAGATACTTTGTAACCAGATACATTTAAATTTCTGATTTCTTTGAATGCATCTTTTGTTATTAATAAAATAATAATAAGATGATTTTGTTTATACTGTTGACATTCAACAAGAAGCGAACACCCCCAGGCTTCCTTAACTTTTAGATATTTATTGGTCTGATTTTACAAAATCAAATATTTCAATTAACAATGGCTTAAACTGAAATCAGCAGGTCCTTTTTCTCTCCTATTAGTTCAGATGATAGTAAATTTCTTGATAATATATTAGATTGGAAAACTTATTTGGCTGAATCCTCACCTTATATAACAGATTGTGGAAGTTCATATATTTTTGGTGGACTTTCTGTCTTTACTTACTACACAACAATCACAAAGACCTTTATTCTTCCTCCTCACTATAAATTGAAGCTCGAATTCAAATTCTGGAGGTACCTATAATAATTATATTTAGATTGACTTCTTGGTTTGGTTCACCTTACATATTTTACATCGATGGCTCCAAATCACATGATGACAATCCAAACACTTCGACAGGCACTTAAATTTGCGGTGTTGGGACTCAAGGATAGGTTTATTAAATTAGTAAAGAGATTGCCCATAATGGAAACAGTGCAATTGCAACATTAATTTCTCAGTAAACAGGTTCGTATTGGGGAATTTCTGATTTCATCTTATATGTGTAGAAATGTCCTAAGGGATGTGATTACTGTGATATTACCGGAAACTGTTTAAATTGGAACAGAGTGCTGGCATTTTTTAATTAAATTCTTGTTACTGGGGGATAAGGATGGGAAAGAGATTATTTTCTCTATGATGGAACTGCCGAATGTGGAAGTAAATTCAAGATATATCTAGGTTTTCAATTTTATGGGCCTTTTTAAATGAGTGAAAAGATTTCAATTGATTTAAATTTACCTGATCCACACACAAAGTATAGAATTTAATTTAAATTTTTGTGCACATATGTAACTGGAGGTATCACTATAAGAGTAGAAGGTAATGGGGTATAACTTACAAACTTCGCATATCCTCTGAATATCATTACTACTACTAATATCATTTGTGGTTCATATTTAAAATTAGATAAAATTGATTTAGGAGAATTTGCAAGCAGTGCTTCAATTTTGACTATTACTTTAGAAATTTCAGCATTTAGCACTGTGTCTAGTTCAACTCCCTTGTTTGGTATTAGAGATTTTGAAGTATTTACGGATGCAGAGAAAAAATAAGTATTAGATGGTAGCATCATTTGCAGTGACAACAATATATATGCATTTGATGGGTGTTTTTCTTATATTTACGATTGCAATGAAGGTTGCAATAATTGTGTAAAGGGCCTTTGCATTTAATGTTTATCTCCTTGGGTATTAAATACAATTTCAGGATAATGTGTCCCAAAATGTGGAGACTAAATAGTTGTATCTTCTGAGTAGTGCGATGATGGTAATTAGCAACCTTATGATGGATGTTATGAATGTTAGTTTTCTTGTCCTTTAAATTGCATGGTTTGCTAATATGGAAAATGTTTGATTTGCAACTATTCATATCAATTAATTGATAATAAATGCTAATTTACTTGTGTAGAGGATGAAAAATTAAGTCAATATTAAGACAACAATAATGAAGGTCACTATTGTTAAATTTCCAATTTTTTAATTAATCCTTATTTACAACATGTTAGATTAAATACTGATATTTAGTTTTAATATGATAGTGATTTATGTAAAATTAATAGTTATGGAATTTTCGGTTATTTATATGATATGTGCCCTTTTGAAATACCTCGGAACTGCAAAATTGGTTTTTTAAATTAATGTTAGATTTGCTAAGATGAGTATGATCTATCTAATAATAATTATTGTATTCCCAAATGTGGTAATGGAATTATTTAAGAATATGAATAATGCGATGATCTTAATTTAGAATAATTTGATGGATGTTATTAATGCAATAGCAGTTGTCAATTAGAATGTTTAGAATGTTATTATTCTCAATGTTTTGAATGTATTGAAGGATGGGATTTAATTAATTTTAAATGTGTCTCTGAATGTGGAGATGGTAAAATTGCATTGCTCTCGGATGAATAGTGTGATGACTAAAATAATAAAAGTAATGATGGATGCTTTCAATGTAAATTTGAATGTACACAAAATTGCCTATTTTGTAATCATAATTTAGATTGTATATTATGTTAGAAGTATTTTGAAATATAGAATAATATTTGTGTTCCTATTTGTGGAGATGGAATCACTATTGAAGGATTTGAATAATGCGATGATGGAAATGATATTGAATTTGATGGTTGTTATTAATGCTAATTCTCATGTAAATAAAATTGTTAAACATGTGATCAATACTAATGTCTAGATCTTAGAGAGAACTAATGTTAAAATGGATATTAATTAATTGATGATTAATGTCATTCAATTTGTGGAGATTTAATTATTGCATCTGATGAATAATGCGATGATGCTAATGAAATTCCATTTGATGGATGTTATTAATGTAAATACTCTTGTTCTTTTAATTGTTTGGATTGTATGGATGGATAATGTATAAAATGTGATGATGGATATGAAATAATTAATAATATTTGTCTTGACATTTGTGGAAATGGTATTAAATCAGAAAAAGAAGAATGTGATGATAAAAATTTAATTTCTTAAGATGGATGTTCTGATGAATGCAAAATTGAAATTAATTGGACATGCTCACAAATAGATCTTGAAACTAGCATATGTCTTTTAATGAAGCCTCCTCATTTCAACTTATTATTGATTAATCAAACATATGAATCTTTCTTTATATAAATGTAGATTACAAGTTAAGTCAAATTACTAGATTCCTATTCAAACTTAACCTAAAGTTTACAACTCTCTTTAATTGATATAGATCCCACACATTATATTATTTATGAGTATGTTTTAGTGGAGCCAAATGTCATATCAGTATAGGATATAAATTATTTGTTTTAGATTAAATTTTTAAAATAAGAAACTATGGAAATTTACTTTTAAGTTTCATTCGACACAGAACTTATAGATTAATATGGGTTTTCAGTTGAAAATTAATATTGTAAATTACATTTAAGAAATCCGATAGTATTAAGCGAGATAGAAAGAACAGTATCTCATAAAATGAGCTCATTAAATATGTATATGCTCATTGGGCTTGGTGTATCTAGCTTTATTATTTTATTGTCTGGAAATCCTGTTGAATGCTTTGAAGTTTTGGATACCTTATAGTATTAATCTAATCTAAAATATATAAATTCCAATTACCCAGAAAACGTCATGATTTATTTTGAATCTTCTGAAGTAGTAACAATAGTTCCAGTTTTGGAAAAGCTATAATTTCTTGATTTATTTAATGTTGTGATTGGATAGGAGAAAATCTAAGCATTTGAAAAATTTCTATTTTATGATGTCAATGCAGAATTAATCAGTAATTTATCAGGATTGATTGCCTAAATAGTGATAGTAGTATTATTGCTTATAGCATCCAAAATATATTTCTGGATCTTCATTAAAAAGTGCTATAATCAATTCAGGATTTTCATTTACAACAGCAATAAATTGTAATTTACCAAATAGATAGCCTTAATAATACATAAACTTAATCAATTAAGTATTCGAATAAATTAACTAATATCTTTAAATGGAATTGTGTATATTATCTAAGCCAATAGTTGGGATCTAATTTTTAAGACTTTGTTGTATCTCTACTCTTAAAAGGAAAACACTTTTAGAAATTAATTCTAAAATATACTTGCATGCTCTTTTTTAATTTGCATTTTAGTATTGCTCTCTTCTATTTTTTCAATAAAGGATTCTTAAATGGGATTAAAGAAAAGAAAAAGTATTCTCCATGAAGGATTGATAGTTGCTAAAAAGTTTTTTTTTCTTTTAGTTTTAATTGGATTTCAAAAAAGTTCCTTAACACAGTCTGTTTTGCTGTCATTGATAAATACTTTCTACATAACAATTATTATCCTTGGATAAATTGTCTCTGAAAACATTGATTTAATTTTGATTCTTATGTTTGAAGTGCCAGTTATATTGTTTACTTTGCTTAATATTGCTTATGAACAATCTTATGCAAATTTCTTAAGCTATGAATCCCAAATTGTGATTGGATTTGGGTAGATAGGTCTTCTATCTTTTGGTATATTAGCGCCATTAATAAAATATGTGCATCAAATCAAAATTAAATTACATAAACAAATTTAAAAGTGGATTCAATAAAAAGAAAAGGAAAAATAACCCCCTACCTCTCTTTTTTTATGAAATAAATTTTGTTAATATAACTTAATATTTATTCTATTGTATTAATAGTCTTAGATTAAAATATCAATAATATATTAAATTAAAAAATAATAATTCCCAATCTGTCTCAAACCTTTGACTTTGATAGATCAAAATTTATAATATTTACAAGAAATAGGAGGATTTGGAATCATTCATTTCAGAATGCATAATAGATTTTTTCAAAATATAAGTTTAAAGAAATATAATTTATTTTCCAATTGGATACTATACACAAATTTGAATCTTGTAAAGGCGCAAATATTCTGATCTTTAAGAATTACAAAATTCCTTCAATTTTGAAGTGATCAAAAATTTTGACCTAAACAAATTTGATTTTATCCTACTCGAATAATAATTTCGTCTTGAAACTCAAATTAATCATAGATAAGTAGCGGTAAACCTGAGTTTGGATTAATATTCTAAAGGAATAGTTAGCTGAATGTTATTATTTTCTTTTCTAAAAAATAATTTATAGAATATATGAGTATAATATAATTGTATATAATGGAGATATGGGGGGATTTATCCATTCATATTATTTAAGTCTAATATATTAAATTAAAAATTTGTTACATAAAAGCATTATTGATTTAATTATTATTATTTTATTATTACAATTTAAAATGAG